GCCCTGTTCTCTGACAGTGTGCAATTCCACAGAGACAAACATTAACGATATTGCACAAACTTAATGACAACTGAAACTATTGCTCCAAAGGAAAAGTATGGACACTCTGAGAGAATGGGCTAGGGAGGGGTCGCTGAGCCTACTCCAGGCAGGTGGGAAAGGCTTCCCTGGGAAGTGACAGTGGAGCCAGCCAGACAGGGAAGCAGGAGTTGACTGGGAAGAGGCAGTGGAGAGAAGGAGTGGCTGGAAGCTTCCCAGCAGAGGTCAGGTTGCTTGCCCAGAGGTCACAGTGTCTGTGGTGGTAGAGAAGGATCCAGCCCAATTTGGCCTCATTTCAGGCCTGTGGTCTCTCCTTGTCTCTACAGGCGTCCTCTCTTCTCATACAGCACGTCAGCTGGTCTTGAAGGAATAAAGGAAAAACCTGAGGGGCACCTGAGTGGCTCGGTCGGTTAAGCATGGATTCTTGGTTTCAGCTCAGGTCCTGATCTCCTGGTCTGCAGATTGAGCCCCGTGTCAAGCCCTGTGTGTCTCGGGCTCCCTGCTCAGTAGGAAGTCTCCTTCCCCTCTGCCTCTCCCCCGCCCCAACCCTGCACACACACACTCTCTCTAAAACGAATAAATAAATCTTTAGAAAAAAAAAAAGAAAGAAAAATCTGATTAAAATTTGAGGATTAGTCAGGCTCTCTTCTATCGCCTATCTTTCTCACCTCATGGAGTCTTAAAAAATTCTTACAACAGAAAAACAGAAACAACACTGTTTTAAGCTATCTGATGTTGCCCAGCTAGCCTGGGTACCTCATACACTCTGCATGGCCTCATTTCTAGGAAGGATGCATTTTACAGGGATCAGGTCATTAGGAGGAGCTGAGAACACATGTACTGTCCCCTTGCCTTCACCCCCATCCCTCCCAACCCAGATCCAGCTGCTAGAGAGGATGAGAGGGCCAAAGGGCCTCACAAGCAGCCTGAGGAAGGACACTTTTTGGAGGGGTCCCTTTTGGAGACTCATGGGCTTCCCTTCAAGATGCTTTTCGTCAGGCTCCAGTCCAAGGCCACATACTCACTTGATTCTTACAATACTCTTGAGAAACAAGATGAAGAAACCGAAGCCCACTGAGAATGATCAGGGCCTGGACAGGGCTACACGCCTGGCTGTTGGCTCTTCAGTCAGTGTGTTCTGCATGTGGACACACTGATGAGGCTCTCTGATACGTGAGAGAGTAACTCCCTTGGTGTTGTGCACGACAGCCTGTGGCAAAAAGGGACCAAACCAGCAGCAGAGATGGAAGGAACCTTAGAGATTCCCTCCAACTCCCAACTCCCTCATTTCACACCTGAGAAGCACAAAGATGCTTACATAGCCGGTGGGTGGTAGGGACTTTTGACTCCCAGCTCATTGCTCATTCCATTTTTCCACATGGCTGTACTGTTAGCTAAAAAGTTTTCTTTGAATTATGAACGAGCAAAAGGAGATTATGTGTGTGGTTGTGGGCATGTGTGAGACACAGAGACTCACAGACAGCAGTGCAAGGACCTGGGCTGTGACAATGCCTGGGGTTGCTCTAAGCACTGATTCACAGGCATTCTGCTCCTGGTGCCTGTGAGGTCAACCTTAGAAACAACCACCGCCATCTTTAGTTACAGCTCCGTTCACGACTGGGTTTCACTCTTCACTGTCTCTGGCAGCTCCAGTGAAGGTACATGACATACACAAAGCTCCCTGAGCTGGAGAATGCTGCCTTCCCAGGAAGGTGTTTGGTGAGCACTCCTCACGCCCTGGTCCTTTAGGAGCAAGATTCTTTTCACATTCCTCCTGTCTTACTGCTGTCCAGTGACCTCCGCCTGGCCTGGCTGTGTCAGGCCGGACACATCTGTCTTCCTGACACCTTCACAGCCACTGGAGGGGGGCTGGCGTATTTATTATCTTTGTGAGCACACACCACTGCAAAGGTTTTAGAAACCTGCCACTGGAAAGTTCCATTTCTCTTCCTTCTACAGCGAGTTTATGTGCTTTGGATCTTGAGCAACTCCCAAGGTGTGACGGGCTTCCTGCTGCTCTCTGTCTTGTATGACTGAGAGGCCCCTCGGAGAGGCTCCCAGGCCAGGCCCGGCTGCTGCCGTTCCATCCTGGAAAAGTGAAAAATGCCCACAGCAAGCACCGGGCGCCAGGAGCGGACCGCTTTCCAACTGGGCTGCCTCCGTCCACAGCCATCACCTGGCGAGCCTCCTCATAAAGACAAGCCTGCCCCTCTTGCTTAACCTTCCCCCACCCCCCGTGGCCCCTGGCAAAGTTGTGCCCTGACCTTGCTCAAGGAGCTTAGGCTCCCCGGGACGATGCCGTGAATTGGTCTGGTATTCTCCCTTCCTGTCAGATACAGGAAACTCGATTTGACCTCTGCTCAGAACACTCTAAAATCATTCGTGGCACCGAAAGACTTCCAGCCTTTGTAATCAGAGCATCTATTATCACCCCGATTAGTGCCGAAGCTCCGATGGGGCGGATTCCAAGGCGAATGCGATTTCCGTGATTTCCGTGATTCCTCGTCCCCATGTTGAGTGCAGATGTCTTTAGATGCAGTGAAATCATCTCTAATAAGCATGCATCGGCATTCAGATGGCTCCAGGGTGCATTAACAGTTTCCCGGCAAAATGCCCCATGCCAACCCACCTTAGGGGACCCTTCCAGGTCCAGCAAGGAAGAGGCAGGGGAAATCTCAAAGTAAATCCAATTCTCAAGCAAACCATTGTAATTTTAGGGCAGACTTGGAAATGCGATGCTGTACTTCGCTCAGCACTAATGGAGAACTGTGCCCTTCCTTCTCAAGCACATTAAAAAGAGGAGCAAGAAAGAGACAGCAGGAACCACCGCACCCTGGGACTGGAGGAGGGAAATGGAAGCCGAGGCTTCTGGACATAGAATTATTCTGTAGGGAAACCATTTCATTGTTCAGAGCCTCTGCTTTCTTCTGCCCTGAAAATAGGATTAAGAATTATCTGCTCAAGGCTTTTGTATGAGTTATTTATACTGTTTCTACAAAGTATATTGAGCCCACATTTACAAACACGTTTACTTAGAATTGGGGAGGAGCCAATGATTATAAACCCTGTAATGAGAGGATCCTGTTTTTCACCAAACACTTTGCCCCGGACCTGGTACAGAAGAGACGCTCAGTAGATGTTTACGGAATGAATGGGGTAGGGGTGGGGTTGGGGGGAATGAAAATGATCCTCCTCAAGAAACTTAAACCTAAATGGAGGTTACAGACATGCATACCTGCAGTATAAGGCAATTGTGGAAAGCATCTTAGAACAAAGGTGTGGGGTTAAAAGCCGAGGAAGGTGACATCCAGATGGCAGGACACAGACACGCTGCCTGGGAAGGGTCTGCCTGGGCTTTGATGGCCGGTGGAACATCTATGGAAAGGGGAGGGTAAGTGCTTCTAGAGGAAAGCAGAAAGCACTGGCTAAAGACGGAGAAGGGAAGCTGAGGAGACACTTGGTCGGCGTGCCTGGATAGGAGTGTGCAGGAGGGCAGTGGAGGCAGGCAGGGTGCCTCCTTCCCTCTGGGGAGCACCTGATGCATGGTAGCTCTAGGGCTGTGTCTGATCCCATTTCAGTCCTGACACATGCCCTTCCTGGAGGACAGCGTTGCCATTTTACAGCCAATGAGCTGAGTCATGGTCAAATTGCTAGCAATGAACAGCTCCAGGATTTGTCCCTAGGTCTCTCTGGCACCAAAGCTCTTCCCCTCTGTCTCAGAAGGAAAGATATTATTAAGACCAAAGAGAGTCCTTGACCTTGAGCTAGACTGTGGACTCTGGAGTCAGTGCATAGGCAAGGGACATTCACAAGGGGCACGGACAGAGCTGGGTCTGGGGAAATCGTTGAGGCAGTAGACAGTTTTGCTCTAGAAGGAAGCGATCCCAGGGCAAGGATGCCCATAGAAAACCGTTGCAGGGGTTTGGGTAAGAGGTTCCCAGCTAGGGGAACCAGGATGGAAGGGAGGATCCCATGTGAGAGGCTTCCTTCTAAGAGCTTTAGAATAATTCATGTGGGGAGCGAATAAGGGATGCTAGAGATAGGGGTAGAAGTAGAGACATCACTGTGGTTTCAGAAACCTGAGGGGCAGGGGGAGAAGCTGGTGCAGGGGAAGGAGGATGAGTTAATCCGGGCCATACCAAAAAAAGTCAATCCCTAAATAGTGCAGGTGTCTGATTCACTACCTTCCTCTGCCTTTACTTGTCCTGCACCTTTTAACCTGCCATGTGGGAGACTCACGGATGCAACAGTGCAACTCATGCAGTCATCGCTTTTCCAGGACCAGCTACACACCAGGCACAGGAGTAGGTCCTTGGCTGTCAAGGGGTTCCCGGGCTGAGGGGTAGATTGGTGCAAGTGCTCTGAAGAGCAGGGGGGCGGTGAAGGCACTCAGGGCACGCCTGCAGCAGCAAGACCACATCTCCTTTCTGCTCAGGGCCCTCACAGACAGGGGTTCCAAGTGTGGGTGGCAGAGACCCCGAACAAGGACCCAAATGCACCTCAGCTTGGCCACATCTCTATGGTCACGGTGTCCCCGGGGAGGCAGGGAGGAGCTGCATTCGTTCTGGCCCCCCAGCGCGGCAGGGGCCCATGGGGACACTGATCTTAGCCAGCTTTCTCTGGTCACCAAGGACCCGGCTACAGGAGGCCCGGGGCTCACTGACACAGAGCTGAGCAGGAGGGGTTTTTAAAACTCGAGCGTGGATCAGAATCTCAGCCTGTTGAAGGAGATCCATTTTCTAACAAGTTACTCCCTGGGAGAACAGAGGAGTTTTGCACAGATGGGAGGCTCTGCCTCCAGAAGTGGCCTCCCCGTGCTCCAGGCTCCCGATGCGAGCGGCCACCCCAGCCTTCCTCTGGCGCAGAAGGTCACTTGGGCCAGGTGGGAGCAGGTGGCACCGGGGAAGCAGGGAGGCCCTCGTCCCCGTGTCTCATGCTCTTCTCTGTGCCCACCCATCCAGCCTCGAGCCCTTCCCCCGACGGGCAGGACGCCAGGCGGCCGAGGAGCAGGAACCCGTCCACCTGGACTGTGGAGGATGTGGTCTGGTTTGTGAAGGACGCTGACCCGCAGGCTCTGGGTCCTCACGTGGAGCTCTTCAGAAAGCATGTAGGCGCAGGGTGGGCCCGGCCCGGGACAGGGCAGGGGGGTGGAGGGCTGCACGAAGGCTGAGGGTCCGGCAGCCCCGGGGCTGCAGAAGGGGGTGGGCTAAACTAAGCGCTGGGGAGGCCAGGTGGAGCCACAGGCTGCTCAGAGCAGAACAACCACATAGTTTTGTTTTTAAGAAGGGGTATTTGTCCCATCTCTTCCCCCGTTTTGGCCTTTATTAGGAGTGCCTGCTTTCCTGCCCATCCATCCATCCGGCTGGTCATTCAACATTTGTAGCACACCTACAATATGCCAGGCGGACTGTAATAGCACAGATTCCTAAGCTGCTTGGAGGATTCGATGAGAAAACGCACGTCAGGTGTTCGGCACGGTGCCTGGCTTGTAGCTAGCCTTCAGTTCACATGTACTCACAAAACTAGGAGAATCCGAAATACATAAATGTGGTAAATGAAAAAAAAATAGGTAGGTAGTAATTAATACTGCATCTGCCCAGCTTACTATGTCAGTTCTCCGTTGCTACTATCACCAGTTACCACGAACATCTAGCTTAGAACAACACAGATTTATCATCTTCCAGTTCAGTGGGTCACAAGTCTGACCAGGGTCTCAGTGGGTTGAGGGCAAGGTGTCTGCAGGGATGACAATTACTTTCTAGAAAGTCTAGGGAGAATTCGTTTCCCTGCCTTTTCCAGCATCTGGATCCACCCTCATTTCTTGGCCCTGTATGGCTCGGCCCTTGTCCTCAAATCCAGCAGCATCAAGTGAGTCCTTCCCAGGCTGCCCACTCCGGTTCTCTCTTCTGATTTCTTCTTCCACTTTTGAGGATCCTGGTGATTACACTGTCTGTCCCACCCGGTAATCCAGGATATTCCCCCTATTTTAAAGCCAGCTCATTAGCAACCTTAATTGCCTTTTGCCAGGTAACCTAACGTACTCCCAGCTTCAGGGAGCAGGACGTAGATGTCTTGTGGGGGGAAGCGAGGGAGCGTCATTCTGGCCTACCACAGTTACCACGATATCCTCCTGTCTCTCACTTGAATTTGGCGATTCTGTCATAGAAACCATATTCTCAGATCTGGGGAGACTCCTCCTCTAACCCGACACTCACATTTCGTTAGCAATATATCTGATGTCACTGGACAGCAGGGCCTTGAGAATAAGCACCCCAGAGGGTTACGTTGAGACGGATCTGAGTGGGAGGAGTCTGGCTGCCTTCCCAGAGTGGTAGGGGACGGTGGAAGTCTAGGAGGTGGGGGTAAGAGAGAAGATCAGGTCCACAGATGAGATTGGTCCACTCTGCCATTTTGCCAACGACACAGAGAGTGAGTGATACAAAGTGGGTGCTTCTGGCTGGCAGCCTAGATGCATGAGAGGGGCGGGGGGGGCCCTCACATAGTTGTAGGAGTCCTGTAACTGCCTCTTCCCCCAACCTGAGCATTCAAACTATCTTTGTCTCTTGTGGCCTGAAAATAACAGTATAGGTGAGTGAGGAAACCGAGCCTTACTAGGTTCATGAATTGAACATGCATTCTGGAGGGTTACCATCTTCAGAGACAAATGGGAACAATACCAAGACCACGACCTCAAGGGGCTAGCATCCCCTTAGTAGTTCACTGGGCTAAACCCCGAGATGAAGCAGGTGCATTATTTAGTTGTATGCCACCTGGTATTATTAACAAGGCCAAACACCTGAAATCCCTCCTCAAGTGTAATTAGCAATTTGGTAATCAGCTCAAGGTCGGTGGGCTTACCAAGAAAAGAACAAGAGATTAAGGTGATGGACAGAATACCCAGCACCTGAGATCGAAGGGTAATTGCTAGTTTCAGGGTCCAGCTGATGGATGACGCTTTGTCTTAGTCTGTTCAGGCTACTATAACAAAGTGCCATAGACCAGCTGGCTTATGATCAAGAGCAATGTATTCCTCAGTTCTGGAGGCTGAAGTCCAAGATCAGGGTGAGAAGCCTCCTTCCGTGTTGCAGACTGCCATCTTGCTGTAGAAGGATACTAATCCTATCCCTGAGGGCTCCACCTTCATGACCTCATTACCTCCCAAAGTCCCCACCTCTAAACACCGTCACATCTGCCTGGGGCTTGAACTCAGGCTGACCTGCCTTCTAGTTTGGGCTAACCTCCACCTCCAAATACCGTCATATGGGGGGGGTAGGATTGCAACATTTGAATTTGGGTGAGGAACACAAACATTAAGTCCATTGCAAACTTTTTGCTCCTTTAGCCCTAAAGCAGATAAGGAGATAAACATCACAGGGGGCATATTGGGCACATAACTGGGGTTTATGTTTTGTTCCTTCAATCGGGAGCAGGAATATGAAAAATCTAGTGTGTCATATGACCTCAGGGAGATTATGGGAAGAGGAACACAGTATTTGTTTGCTCTATTTTTTAAAAGAAGACATTGCCTTGGGACTAAAAGAATGTGTACCTGAGTGAATCCATATTCCCTTACCTCATCCCCTGACCCCCTGTTAACCATAGCCACTGTTTGATAAATCTGACCATCTTCTGGATTTTCTTTTTTCTGATCCTGTTCCACCAGGAGATTGATGGCAATGCACTCTTGTTGCTGAAGAGCGACATGATCATGAAGTACTTGGGTCTGAAACTGGGACCCGCGCTGAAACTCTGCTACCATATTGATAAACTGAAGCAAGCCAAATTCTGAAGGTTTTTACAAAGATAGAAGCGAAATCCAGACAACAGGTCTCAAGATCATCTTCTGCCTTACCAACATCCAGCCACCATCACAAAATGGATTCTCTCCTGAAAAATAACAGCCACAAAGACTGGGTCTTTTTTTAAACCTTGTGCATCTCTGCCTTTTAAAAAAATTCAACATGGCCCTTTTGAAAGGCTCTTCTGTGTTAATGATTTGCCAAAAAAAAATAATGGAAAAGCCTATTATTTTAGCATTTCTGATAGGTTGGTTGCTCTGAGAATGGGTCCTATTTTTATGATGAGAGATCAGGGAACCCAGTGCTACAGACCACGGAGAACCCTGGAGGGTTCCAAGGAGGTGAGAATAAAGACCTTTGTCTCTACAGGGACTCCACCATAGCACCACCTGTCTTTAACTCTGCCCCAGGGACCTGTCATTGTGAGCCTTGCTTAATTCAGCTCTGGAAGCTGTCTTCTGAGGAAACATGCCTCCTCACCTTGCACTATCTGGAAAACTTGAATTCTTTTGCTCTCTGAAGGAGAAGAAAAAAATCTTTTTCTATTCCTAGTTATCTGAAGTACTGTGTTGTCCCACTAGAGGGCAGACTGCTAATGAAGTTTCAGGACCCTCCCAGCAGCAGCCTGCTGATTTAGTACTCAGTGGACCGGTTAGGGTCTCTGTGAACAAGATCTAGCCTACACAGACATGGAGAATTTCTTCCACAGTCAGCACCACAGGTTGCAACTTGGGGAAGAAACTATCTTCTAGAATGTTCTAGTTCATAACCCAGTCATTATTGACTGACTGAGATGCCCAAGCAGCAAAGGCAAAAATGTGGAAGTATGTTCTTCCCAGATGGGGCTTTGGAGTTCCTTCCCTTTCAGAGTCCTTACCGGGGTGTTGATGTGTTGGCACGCTGAAGAGTCTTAGTGACATTTAGCCCATGGGTGTTTCTTTTAAAAAATTAGAAAAATGTCTCAGATAAGCTTTGAAATGGGAGAGTGTTGATTTCTTGTTACATTTCTGGATTGTGTAGTTGTACCGCTGGCAAATTTTTCTAGTTCTCAACAAATACACGGACGTGCTGTTACTGGGTTTAATTCCATTTACAAATAGGTTTTCCTTCCTCGTCGTGGAGTAATAGGAAAAAATCGATTTTTCACCCCTTTGCAGCTGTGTCCAAGCAAGGATGACGCGTCCCCAGTTTACGAGGCAGAGGGCAACCTCATCCCCATTCTTCTTTTTATCCTTCTTTCTCTCTTTCCCTCTTCCTTTTATCCGTCCTCCCTTGCTGAAGAGGAAACAGATTTTCAAAATGAATTCACCTTTGCCACGGGCAAATCCTCTTCCTTAAAAACATCCACAGTGTTAGAAGTGAGGAGATGAATACTAGACTCTGCAATCTCTGGGAGGGTGAGGATCAAAGAAAACTCAGGGCCCCCCTTGGCCCAAATGCAAATTAGAAAAAGCACACCTTTCTCCGGGGATGCAGCCGAGCAGGGGGGGTCTCAGGTGATGAACGGAGCGGGGGAGGGGGGATTTCCTCCCCCTCCCCCTCAACCGGGTGCCCTTGTGCAGGACAGGAGCTGTGCAGCCTTGAGGCCAACCAGGCTAGATTTGCATACTGATCTTCTGTAAATCAGTTAGAACTTAGAGGAAGACCCTAAGGAAGATTCCATGCCATGGTGTTAGACCCACTTGGATGAGCAATATTTGAGAAAGCACATCCTAGCAAAATCCTTTTTCAGACACACAAACGGTGGCTGGACTTAAAGCACGACAGAGGCGGGAAGGAGGACCGTGTCCTACCCCTGCTCACCGAACTGAGCTTGAGTCATCAGGTTGTGGAAGGGCTTAGTGTCGGTTGCTTTCGGCACCTGACAATACTACCTTGAATCAGGCCTCGGGGACAGAGTCTTCCAAGATTCTAAAGTGACAAAATGACTCTGCCCCTCAAAGTTTGTTCATTATGAGTGCTCATGGATGGTCTGGAGTTAGATAAGTCCCCTCAAAAGGCCACGGCTAGTTTATGTATTCAGAGCTGCCAGTGTGAAAACGGTGAGATCCAGAAAACGCCATGACAGCCCATCCGCTGTGTTTTGCTCAGGCCTCTGAAACTCGTCATGCCTCTTTCATCAACATATACCTCGTTGAGAGACTTTCAAAACTTCCTACCCACCCTCAGCAGTGCCTCGCTCACTACAAAAGCATAAACATTGGTGCTCCCAAATTAAAATCATCCCCAAACAATGTCAAAGAGATACTTTGAGTAGTTTTCGGAGGAGAGAGATTTTTTTCATCTCAAGTCTAGGAGAAAACTGGATCCATGTTCACGTGTAACTGCTCTCACGGAGGTGCGATCTCATTTTGCATTAAACTTTAAGCAGGACAGATTGCTGAAGCCATGATATTTAAGGTTTGACTTTTTAAAAATCTCATTACTCTTAAAATGAATCTGCCATATCAGAAAATAACCCAGGGAGGAAATTCCTCCTTGCCTGTTTTTGCACTGAAATGCAATTAGCCAACCAAATTATTGTAGCAATACTGCAATTATAATTAATTTTCACCCCTTTCAAAAATCTTGTCAAACCGAGCAGCTAAATAGCTCAGCAAATGTAAAACATGCCAGGCCATTTCCTCTAAATGGACCTTAAAGAGTCAGGCCATGTGTGTCACTCTCGTCCAAATGTGAGCTTATTTCGGGAGCCTCACACTCGTATGGATACGGTACTTGTCATTCCACTGCGGTAGCTGTATTTCAGGTTGTGGTGAATAATGATATAGTTTTGCATAATTCCAAATTAGAGTGTGTGAGTGTGTGTGTTCATGTCCAGACATTTCCAATCACCCGTGTCTGTTAAACACTTAAAAAAAAAAATCTAGAGACAATTCTATTGCCCAAATTCATTTTAAATATTTCATAAGTACATGAATCCCTTTGTGAAGACTTCAGGTAAAAGATGTAGGGGGTGTGTGTGTGTGTGTGTCCCCTAACACAGTGGTTGGAAGAGCCTAAGGAAGAGGCTGAGAGCGTGTCAGCTATTCGGTTTGCTTGGTTTAAAATGCCTCCCCAGTTTGGAACTTGGAGGCAGAACCCGCTCTCGGCGGTTGGGACGAGGTATCCCCTTTACTGCCAGCAGGGTGCGCCGTGGAGGCAGCTGGGGACGGTGTCGGGCTCGGGCCGGCCTCCCTGAGGTGCTGCCTAGCGCCCCCTCGGGGCGGGGAGCCCGCAGGGCAGGGAACAGGCGTCTTGAGCGCCTTGTTTAGGGCCCACCAGAGCGTTCACCAGGCTCCCACCATTTCTCTTCCAGCAGGGCTGCCAAGGTTTTTCCCCCTTTCATCAGGAAGGAGTGAAGAGCTCCTCAGGAGAGCCAAATACGCTATTTAAATCTATTGGGAAGGAGTCCTGAGCTAAGGTTGGTTTGCTTGAGAAGGAAACCGGTGAGAGAGGGAAGACACAACTATAAATTTCTTAGGAAAACGATAAAAGAGCACCTCCTCTCACAATCCCAACCCTTGAAGCTGCAATAACCTATTTTTGTATTTATGTGCTGTATGGAATTTCTTTTTAAAATTAAAGTCATTTTTTAAATTATTTTTTGAGATTGCTTGAGGAGAATTTTGTCATATCTCTGGAGATAATTGGAACTGCCCAGAGGTGACCAAGGACTTGAGTTTAGTCACTGTCAGAAGGTCTTGAAAGATGGAAATATTCTGCTTTATTTCTACCAGGTTTTCATACATGTGAGCAGGTGACAAATGCTCTGACAGGGCACTTCTTCAGCTCTTCCCTAGAGGGGTGATAGGATGAAGAGATTGGACTCACCTTTTTTCCTAACCTCTGATAACAAGACATGGGATTGTGAGGGAGTAGATGAACTTTGTAAAGCTGCAATGTTTTGTTAAGGAGAGGAGCAAAAGAAAGCCTGTTGGTGGATGTGGTTTATTTTTTGTTATAAACACACTCCAAGAACCGAGTGGTTGCCCAGCTCTGCTGTGGTCTTGCTATGTCCCCTATCCCCGGTGGCATGAGAAGGCCACTTGAGAACCCCAGAGGTGAATCCCGCAGATGGTCAGACGTCTAGAGATGCCGCCATTCCGGTTTCCATCTTGTGATGTCACCCCAGGGCCGACGCCCCGCTGCACTCACACACAGCCGCTCAGCTCCCAGCACCACTGCGGGCTGGGCTGTCCAGGGAAGAGCTCTGGGAGCCTCAGCTTCCAAGGAGTCCTTCCCTCCGTTGCTTACCCTAATCGAAGACGATTCCTTCATGGACAATTGGAAGCTGGATTTTTGAAAATCTAACGTTTACTTGAAAGAGAATCTCGCTTATTTATTGCCACCAGTTAAATATTATGGAAACATGTCTGCTAACAATTTGCTTTGTGTAATTTGTTCTAATGCTAATAAGCAACAGCTGGGATACTTCCTGTGGTAAATTCCTTTGTGGTTACAGTGGTATTATCACACATGGACTTCACCAAAACGCTGTACTTAAGAAGAACGTTCACTCTGGCTCTCTCAGACTTCAGGAAATTCCCCTAACTTAGAAACAGTTCTGGGCAAAAGCACATTTTTAGAGGAAGATTTGCTCTTCTTCACACCCTGCTTCCTCAAGCAGGCCCCCAGGCCTGTGCTTTTCAAATCCTACATACAGAGCCTGAGGGCGGGTCTCCTCAGCACTGAGTTTGAGTTGCTCCAGGGGAAAAGCAGAAAGCAGAACTTAAGAATGATGCCTTCCTCGGGTGAGGATGCCGTACCGAGTTGATATTAAGAGCATGTGGGCAGGAGAGGAGTGGAGACACATCCAAAGGAGAAGAGGTGGCTCAGCAGGTGATCAAATAGTGACGACGTCAGCCAGTGTGGGGACTGCAGCATCTTTCTGTCCAAAGGGTCTCAGTATACCACTCGGACTTGCTCTGGGCTGCCAGCCCACCAGGCTCGGCTCTGTCGCTCCACCGTATTACCTGAGACTTAGAGTTGGTTCCATGCACCGATGCTTGATTCAAAAGGCCAACACAAACATCCTCCATTAGATCCTACTTTGGAACACACCCGGTGCCTTGCTTTTCCCAACAGCTCACCGTGCAAGAGCAGACCCGAATGGAGTGCCCTTTCCCCGTCGCCTGTGTGACTGGACGCTGCCTCCATCATAAATGTAGCATCCTCAAATCTCAGGAAGGCTCTGCCTCCCCCCGCCTCCCGCCAGCAGTGCTGGATGGCCTTCCCCACAGCCCTGAGAAACGGCTGTGCCCGACTACTTCCCATTAGGGGGAGTTCACTCCCATAGGAAGTGGCTTGTTTCTCTGTTGGACAGCTCTGGTTGTGAAAAAGTTATTTCTCAGGGAGACACAGATGTCTGTGAATCACACACAGACGTTTGAGATGAAGCCAACTCTGCAATCTTTCTCTTTTTAACAGAGCTCGCCCATGCAGTAACCGCACCTATAATACAAACCGACTTGGCAAGTAGATCCCAGCTCTGCTACATGAGGATAGAGGAGCAGACACTTTATATAAATGTAGAACTTAGCTAGGTCATGGCCATCAGATTCATCAGCCCTGTCGTGAAGAACTAGCGAAATTCTTGTGGCCTCACACACGCACAAAAGGGGGTCCTGGGAGAAGCTTCAGTGCAGCTGTGAATCTGGCTGTGGTCACACAGGCATGTGAGTTACCTAGGCTTGTGTGAATGGATCTATAAGACCATGCGCTTCATTAACTGTGAAGAAAATGCTATGAGACGCTGAGGGCCTATCTCTTAATTGTACTCATTAGTGATATGATGAACTAAGAAAGCTTTAGTTTAGATAAAAATAAGTTATAATCGATGATAGAAAAATAAACATGGTCTGCCCTGAAGGTATGAAAGAGTGACACAGTTATGACCCCAGGCCCAAGTTGCATTTCGTGCTTGTATGTGCATGCACGAATGAGTGTGTATTTGTGAGTTCATGCAACCAGAAGTGGGAATTGAGGGATGTTTGAGAAGGGATCGCAAAGGGAGATTTTGCTTTCTGGGACATTTTGTCTTAATCAGAAGAACTATCTAGCAATGATTTAGAACTCAGACCCCAAACTAAATAAAACATGTAGTTTATGTAGCTTACTTATGTAAAATTCTGGATTATGGAGCAGATTCTCTATAAAAATGCTTAAATCTTGGTGCTTGGAAAAAGTAGATATTAGCTAGCACCTTGCATAGCACTTGTCATAAAAAAAGGCACCCTGTTAATGAACTGAATGAACACGTGTGACCAGTTTTCATATTTTTGTCAAAAAGCCACTAATTTCTCTTTGAACCCCATTATCTTTATTGAAAAGAGAATTGCCAAAGCAGAGCATGCTGCCTTTTATTTCCTGGCTCTCCCAACCTCTGCAGTCACCAACTTGCATTTCACTTGCCTCCCTTTGTCTTAAGATCTCACATTCCGATTGGCCTTGTGGTCTATTGCAAGCATTAGAGGGTAGTATTTACAACTTTACTTTTTAAAACACCTTTTCCTCCTCCTTCACAATCTGTGACACCTCTCACAAGTGAGTAGGGTTTCCATCTATGGGTAAACTTGCACAGGGAGTTAAGTTCTTTCCATGACCCCCGCACTCCCAGAACCTCACTCACCTTGGAGAGGGCCGGTCCACCAAACTGGGCCTCCCGCGCAAGCCACTCTGTCATACATGCCGATGGCAGCAAGCCTGTTCGGGAAGACACAGCCCGTAGGAGATGGATAGAAGAGGAGCTTCCCCTGTCCTCTGCCATGCTTTACCCACCTCCGTCCTTGAGAGTAGATTCAGAAATATCTGGGACTTCTCTCTTTTCCCAAGTGGTTATGTAAAACAATCATAGGACCAATTTTTTTTTTTTTTTTTCATAACCACACCAAAACTTAGAGTATTCCACCTTCAAGGAAATCACCTTTAAAAGCCTGGGCACGTGTTCCAAGGATGTTATCACTGCCCAGATATTTTTTAGTTCATCTCTTCTGGGGTCATCTTTAGAAGCCAGAACACTTTCCTTTCAAAGTGTGGTTGGAAGCGTACCCATCATCCCTTGGGAGTGGATGTTTTTTTCTTTTCGGAACAAGCCAAAGCCACTGGGGTGGTGTCTGGTAATCCATCTAAGATTTTAAAAGGCATCTCTCCATACTCATTAGTTTGTCTTTTCCTTGTGTGTTTCCTCAGTTGGTCCAAAACTTCGAGCAAGAACAGCCACAATTCATTTCTCAACTTAAAGATATTAGGCAGGCATTGGTATAAGGAGCTGCAATGCATAGACAACTTGGAAGGGCAGCAGCATCTGGATGTATAACATCCACCATGTTCATTTTAAAGTAATCTCGCTGTATCTTTGGGCATGGTAACCTCAGTGTATCATGAGCGTATGCAAATATACAGACCCTGTTTTTATACCTAGAGCCCCCAAATCCAGAGGAATTGGGAGGAAGAAGCATTAGGGACACCTGGACAGCTCATCTCCAGTGTAGGACCTTCTTCATGTCATCTCCCCTGGGTCCCACATAACTCTGTGAGGGCAGATGATGAGGCAGTGCAAAAGAAACAAGCTCTCTGCATGACCCACCTGGTACCCTCATCTCCTCAGCAGGAAAAGGAAGGGGCATCCAAGTGACCTTTAAAGGCAGTGACAGTAGTTACTCTCAGCAAAGACCAGCGCGGCTGCTGGCTCCTCACTCTTGTGTTTTATGACTTGTGGCTTCTACTTCTCCCCCTGTCTGACTTCATCTAGATACTTTCTTATCCTCTTCTCTCATGGGCCCATAACTCTTTCTCAAAGCCACATAAGTGTGATTTTGCCATCCTTTCTCATTCGTTTCTACCCTTCCTTCCTTCCTTCCTTCCTCTATGATTCTTTGTTTACCCCTTTCTGTTTTTCTCCATTCCACTAGTTCAAATGCTTTTTGGGCAGGAGACGGGGGTGGAGAGAGAAATAACTAACAGGTAGTCTCTTCCCTCCCTGGTCCAGCAGTCCTGACCCTTGCCTGCCTTCCACTGTCCTGTCATTACCCGCCCACAGCATTCCTCAGCTCTGTCATGTTCCCGACCTGATCTCCACTTGATCTTTCCATTTCTCAAGGTCTAGCCTTCTCGGTCTGTCCTTGAGTTTGGGAACAAGAATCCTGTTCCATTGATTTTTATTTCCATTTGAGTCCTGTCCTTTTTAAATGCTTCATTCTGTGACTCACCCAGACATCTCCCTATACAATTCATCAATCTTCCTTAAGCACAGGCCCAAATGCCCATCCATCTAGGGATTCCTCCTCATTCAGTCCTGAAGGTCAAGAGCCAAGTGACCTGGAGACAATCTGACATACCTCTTGAAAAGCAGGAGTTGTTTCTCCCAGCCACGCTGCCTCCTGTAATCTGCATGGGTCACTCTGACATCCAGTAGCAATTCCGATCGTTCCACAGTTCTTTAGGGAACGTGTAGCTTTGTCCAGACCCACTTAACACTGGCTGCACCGCCCGTGCCCAAAGCCAGGCCAGTGCCTCAGTGTAAATGAGGAGGGCCAGCCCGGATCAAAGATGAGGCAGGATGACCTATCTCAGAGGCATTCTGGGGTAAGGTTTTGTTTTTAGACTTTCACAGTCTGCTGAGAAGTGTGCGATAGTAAGTCTGGGTAGGGAAAGACAATGATATATTTCTCAAAGGAAAATGTGGTTTAGAAGAGAGAGAAAGGCAGCAAAATTCTGGAAAGGGGGTGCTCTATTCCTGGCCTTTGTCCAGCACAATCACACACCCTTAAGGTCTTCCTAGAAGTCAGACTTGTTTCCATCACAGGATCTGAAAGTGTTTCTGCCTAAGTGTGAGAATTTGAAGGACTTTAATTTCTTTTATTATCCATCATATTCGAAACCACAGTATTTAATTTGCTGTCATCCTCTGGCTATACCTTTGATCACTTGAGGATTAAAAAACAAAAATGAGCTCCTCTCATCTCATCCTCCAGAAATGTTGAAAGATCAGTTGCTTTATATAGCAAATATTTCCATTTTATAGACATTGGTTGATTACAGCGTTTCTCTCCTGCAGATACCTAGATGTAATTTTATTAATATATTTTCTCCTTTAAGTACATTTGCCGATAAACTAGCTTTTTATTCTATACACACACAATAAAACTAAATAAAAATGGGTGAAACAAAATCATTCCATGATAATTGTCTTCTGTTGCCATTTTTTCTTTACACTAACAGTGAAAACTTTTTGTTAATTAAGTGCCATTGTAATGTCACAAAGCGTCACTGGGCCAGAAGGTTTTTGTTTTCCTAGCTAGGCCAGGCTGTAATTATCTGACAAGCCTCTTGCTAGATAACAAGGGCATCTGAGCAAGTGAAATTCCACGTTCTCCAAGCCTGTGAGATTGAATGATGATGATTGAAATGTTATGCCTTTTGTTTTGTAAGTTGAGGGATTTATTGTCAGATTCTTTCTTTCAACTCAGGCTCAGTTGATCTCATGTTTCCACGTCTTTATTCTACTTCTCTACACTGCTGTGCCCACGCAGGAGGCTTCCTGATCTCTCTCCACCTGGGAGAGTGGCAGCCGAACCCTTTTCCTGGTAAAGCTTCTGTCTTTAACCATGCACTGCATGGAAGAGCCAGAAACCAAGGGTACAAACAGGTCATCTCCCTGTCTCGGTAAAATAAAAATAGGGTTAAAAAAAAAAGGAAAAAAAAAAAGAAAAACAGGGTTGATTACATTGCCTTAGATGGTCTCCCTCCCTTTTAACTAAAGATTTTAAAAGGGTGTGTGTATGCATATTCATGTGTGTATTTATGATTGGGTTTAGCAATTTGAGCTAAAGGTCATCCAGTGAAAGTTTAATGCATCATTTGCTCGTGCCGAGGCACATGTGTGTGCACGGAGGGCCTGGTATATGTATTACAGGTACTTTAAATACTTGAAAATTCATTGTGCTTTCACTTTTTGTGGACATAATGGAATTCTGGAACATTACTTCAATTCCATGCTTTATTTAGAAGTGCTTGGAGAGTGTGGAGCTTTGAGCTTAGGAAATGGTGTAGTTTTAGGGCCTAGCTTTTTTTTTTCTTTCTTTTTAAAAATTTCAATGGATCTAATTTTGCAGACCAGAAATCAATGAATAAAACTCATTGTAATGGGGAACAGCATTTACACTGGAGACAAAGAGCAGCAAACTCTGTCACCTGGGAAAGAGCCTCTCCTTAATTTTCGCTCTTTGTAAGCATGATGTAATCAGTGTTTCTTAATATCGGGACAATCCTCTCCCTTCAAAGTGTTCCTATGTAATTGTGTCACATAATGGTAAATTGTAATAGGCAATTTGGTTCTGTAATTCAGTTTGCAATGCATGCAAACATAAGATAACTAGGTTAAATGCAAATAAGCATTACACTAAGGTACAAAAAACAGGGGGGAGGAAAGATGCTGTGTCCATAACTTAGAATCTGGATTTTATTCCTCGTGTGCCTCCAAATGTAGTTTACTAAAGTTATTTATCCTCTAGTTTAATTGCATCACATGCTGTTCATACAGATAATTATCTGTGTATAAACATATATGTATTCTTATCGCATATATTTACAGATCTCTCTTTGCAATAAGCAGGCTCCAAGCAAGCATGTTCTTTAGGAGTGGGTCGATGTGCTCATTTTTTGCAACGGACGGTGTTCTAACAAACAGACGATTATATATAAGCACCATATCAAAATGTGCTTTTAATTTTTCAAAGCCTTTTTGTCATTGTATGTGAGCTTTTTCCTTCAGGTCAATTCTTTCATTATTTAGAGATCTATTTTTAATATATTCCTTTAAATAGTGACCAGTAGGTACACTGTAGTCAGATGTGTAGTTTCATTAAGTAAATGCTACTGGCCTTAATGATTTTAATATTTTGGGGTGCTTTTGCTTTTATTTTTGATGCAGTATTTTTTTCTAGTACAGTGTATTGTGGGCCTGAGAGTGATTCAATAAAATTTCTAAATCTTAAGATTCCAAGACAATGCAGTATTTTCTGTTCACGCTGTAAAAAGTATTTCTGTATTTTAATAAAGAATGGAATTTATGTGAGACTGTGTATCTTTTCTCTGATCAGCTTCCCTATGTTCATTATTATTTCATTAGACCTAATTCCCACGGGTGGATAGCAAGGAAACGCCTTTCAAAAGGGGGGACTTTTGACAGCCAAGGCTGAAAAGTCCCGATTCACAGTTGCCTGCAGCACCTCCATTGGCAGCACGGAGCTGGCTGGGAGCGACTTGTTACAGGCGCCCAGGGTTCTCTATTGACTATACTTCCTGTCCCCTGACCTTCCTATTCTGGCCAGTGAGTACAAGGGGGTTAGCCCAAGGCCGGGGAGGAACGTAGATTTGATCAGAGTGCCGGGTACCCGGTGTCTGCCCAGGGTCTTCTTGGACCAGTCTCTCCTCTAGGACTTCCTTCCTGGTTAATAATCAGGGACAAGAAGAGGGCTGCCTTCACTGGTACTCGGGAGGACTGAAAATAAATTACAGTGCTTGTAAAACCTCCCGAACAGTGTTAGTTGAATCTGGAAACCTATTCCAGCTGTTTACTGCAGTGGGGTGGTTGTGAGTCTGGCTGTTTGGGGGTCATGGCTGCTCCTGTGTTTTGATCCTGCTCTCACCCTGACCTGCCAGTTCCCTCTCAGAGGCCACCAGCCTGTCCCCGGTGCTTTGCAAGGATCCTTCACAAAGGCAGCATGGTTCTCAATGAAACAATTCAGGGGCAGGGAGGGTTCCTCCCATGCCAGAGCTCTCTGTGGCTGTGTAAGGCCAAAGGAAGACCTGAGGACAGCTCTTGGGGAGGGTTGGGGGCACAGACCCCCACAACCTTCTCTATTTGCCCTTGCTTTGCTTAAAACTTAAGAAATTCTGAAAATATTTAACCTTGCTACTTGCCCTGCCTCAAACAAAACCATTCCCAAATTCATCTCCCTCCCTCTCTCCTCTAGCACAGATCCCAACTAGATAGCCTTTCTCGTGTGTCTGTGAAGTCCCTGAGTCACCCCAAAAAACCAACCTACCAGTGCCCTCGCATACTCTGGTCCGAAGGGCCCCTTCTCTGAGCCTGCTTTCCTCTAATAGTTGGACCCAAGCTCTGAAAATCCAGCTTCCATTACTAGCTTTTTCTTGTTGTTGGACCAACTGTAGTACCCTAATTATAAAAGGTCCAACTGGGGAAGAAATCCCAAAGTCAACGTGATAGGTTTTTCTGCCAAATCTGAACATAGCTTTGGCAACCTGAACACTTACAGACCCAGAGAGGAAGGAGGGAACACCATGATGAAGGGAGGCATCGCGTCCTGGATTAAAGCTGTTGTGTGGTGTGAAGCAGCCATCACTGGAGGGCAGGAACAGTACAGCTGGTGTGCAGGGTCAGGTTTGAAGCTGATGTAGAGGTGTGTGCCCCACTCACCATGTGTATGTACATGCACTGCCCCTGCCTTATTCTCTGTTTAAGAGACAGAAGATAGATAGATTGGACCAGAAGCCACACCTGGGGTTTAGCCCTGGCCTTCCCACTGACCGACTGAGGCCATCGGACATGCTTTCCTCTTCCAGACACCAGGGAGCTGGACTAACTGAGGTCCATGTTCCCCCCTGCCTACGCTTGCTCTCTCCAAGAGCCCGTGAGTCTGCGCCTTAGCAGCAGAATAAGTCATTTATAACTAGACCCCCTTTTTCATGGTCTTGACAGCCCTGAGCTTAGGTGGCGGAGACTAAGATGACCAGCTACCTCCTGGGCCTCTCCTAAGAACCCATGAGGGAGAGTTGTCTTTAAGATCAAATGGAGTTGATCTTCTCCGGCAGGCTACCAGAAAAGAGAACCTCCCCCATAGGAATTTAAAGCGCCATCACACACTTTGAGCACGGACAGATCTTGCCTTCTGATCTCTAAGAACTTCCATTCATTTTAGTGCTCAATGAACTTGCACGTTTTCCCATTACTCCTTTCATTCAAAAAATCATTTTTAAAGCAGAATTGCTTTTCTCCTTGAACTCTTCACCAAGGTTGATTCGATATGCATCTAGGAGTCTAGGAGTGGCTCCTTACTGTTAACCTGTTAGTGGGAGCAATAAAAAACATTGAAAGGCAAAGGCTATTTAAATGAGAAATATTTCTGTAAAATCCCCTGGGATTGGGAGGCGGAGCAGGGGCTCCGAACGGTAGCTCAGTTGGTTGCTGGTTTCAGACTAACAGGTTTGGCAATGATGTTTTGTTAGCAGCAGTTAATCAGTGAATCCCATTACTTAATAAGGTTATCACTCTTAGCAAAAGCTGCAAATTACAGTTTCTTTCTCTCCAGGCTGACGATAACATCCTTAAAATTTTGCATCGACAAGTAGTATCTTGTTAGCAGAAACCAGGTAAACAGAAGCACACTGAAAATGACATTTGTGTGCGATTCAGGCTGACGTTTTGATCCAAATATTTCAGTCATGTTAGCCTGCCGCTTCCCTTCTCCCTCATGGTGCCTGTATGGACTGTGAATGAGAGACAGGTAGGAAATGGCTTCTTTGTTCATCACCAGCTGCAGGAAACCCACTCGGGAGGGTGGGTTTAAATTCACGGGCTTGTAGAAGCTTCGCTAAGTCACCGCCATCCCCTGGTCTGTCTGCTCCTCAGCCTTGAAGGAGGCTTTCCAGTGATTTAGTGATTTCGTGATCCAGGAGAGCTGCTTTCTCTCACCAAAACCGCTTCCATTAACCCCCACGACTCTCGCTTGGCATCTCGGCACAGGGCACTTCGAGAAGCCCATGAACTGCGTCGCCCCGCGCCACCCCTTGGCTCCTGCTGTGTGTAAATCCCCCACAGCCTCCTCCGCCAAACGTCCTCCGTGCGCGTTCACACATATTCACCCATCACTCCTCCCGCGGGGCCTGGGAACCTCAGGGCAGGACCGAGGGCGCCAACCACGTCGGCGTCGACCTCCTCCCAAGATGGCGCCACGTCCCATGTGGAAGGGGAGGCGGTGTCGCGGTGAGTGTGTCACGCAGCCGACGGGAAGTGCTGCAGGAGCCCCTCAGGAAGGGAGGCAAGGGAAGCTCTTCCCTTTAAGCACAATACAGCACAAGGGGTGCTGCGGGGAAAGGCGTCTGGGAGGCAGGATAACAAGCAGGGGCACTTTCATGCCCCACCACCTCCAGGGCTGGAGGGCTGCCGCCGAGCACCACCCCTCCACTCACGGATATACACCCAGCAGTCCTGCTATTCCATCCCCACAGTGCTCCACTTTTCAGTTCAGCTGTTTTGTTTTGTTTGCTGATTTTTTCCTTTTGCCTCAAAAAGCTCAGACGGGAGGGATTCGAAGATCTTCCTGGGAGGTGTGTGTTGTGCGCACGCGCTGAGCGTCCCTGCCGCGGGCCAGCGGTTGATGGCGTATTTATTTCCCACCCCCCCGCCCTTTCTCTCCCCGCCCACCGGCTCCTGCCCACAGGTTCCCACGCGTCCAACAGGCCGCGGCGTTTCTTAGAGCTGCATATCATTTCCCCCAGGAGGGACTTTGTGTTTTCTGGCTGAATTAGTCTTCAGACATTTCCAGTGACTTCCCTCCTTCGGTTGCACCTCTGCATCCTTCCCACACTTGGCTATTGAAGCATTTTTTTCTCTTGGGGTTTTATTTCCTACTCTTGCCTCCTCGGCCTCCACCCCACTGAGAACATCTC